CCCCCCCCCCAAAAAAAATGAGAAAAAAACCCCTTCATCTTAGTATTAGAACTGTTTTAACCAAATGTCATGTTACACAGATTTAAAAATCACATATATTGGATATTAAAAAGAAAAAACCAAACCAATCCTTATTGACAGAAGCCTATAGCCTAGTAAGCTGTTTTATTTTTAATACTGGAGCTGCATGGACAGTTATCTAACCTCTCAGTCTAACCTCTCAACCTTCCTCCTAATATTGGGAAACTTGCTAATAGTGTCTTGTGGAACAAAGCTGTTTCGAAGCTTTGAACAAAGGGATCCAAGTCTAATGACTGAAAGAACATTTAGGAGCTACTGTCTCATTCCTTTTTTACAGATGGGAAACTCTTGTTCCATCCATTTAATGTTCAAGTATACTCACTAGTACTATACTGTAGTTGTACAAGATAAATGCAGACAGATTACTGCATCTAAAAATCACTATTAACACTTTGTCAAAGCAATTGCTGGCCTAAAAAGTCTGTATCTTCTGTATGTTATGATGCCTTAAGGAATATTTTATGCTTTTCTTCAGTGAGACTGGGTCTGAAATATTGCCCCATTTATTCATTCAAAACTAGAATGAAAAAACTTCTGTAGTGTCATTATAATGCATTCAGAGTTAATGGATCTCTTATGTTTTCTCTTTCTGGAGCAACTTAATGTCTTATGACTCAGTGGGTCTGTCATATGGCCCAAGTCAACTTTTTACATTCAGTATTTTTTTTTTTAAGACTACTAGATTAGCTTTTAAAAATTAGTAACTCTCTGCAGAAAGCTGCATGCAAATGACCTTACTATAGTTCTTTGGTCAAAGAGACTGACATGTGTCCTAACAACAGTGGTTATCAGAGTTAATGGAGTACTTGTAGATGGTTTTTTCTTTTCAGATCTGCTTAACTTAGGACAAGCAACACCGGTTCTTTTTTTCTTCTGCTTATAAGAGGAAATGCAGATGAGCAGGTGAAATAGTGAATTTCTTGAATTCTCAGAGTTGCAATATTTTTTGTAGTACTATTTGAGCAAAATGAGTCACTTCTGGAAGCAGAGCAGATAGAAGCATAAACTCTGAATTGAAAGGGAGTAACTGAAGATCTCTGTTTATATTCTATATGACTGTGGACATTCAATATATTTGCAAATGCATTGTTATTGAGTACTAGCAAAATGCCTTTTTTTTTTTTTTCAGAAGGAAAAAGAAAAAAAGAAAGAAGAGAAAAAGAGAGAGAGAGAATCAGAAAAACCATCAAAACAATTAGCAGTTGAAAAGGTAAGAACAGTTTATTTTTTCCAGTTATTTAAAAATTATGGTATTTATATGCACAAAGATTTGAAAAAACAAAAAAAAGTGTGTGTTTGTCTATGTGTGTATATATATACACGTGTGTGTATGTACGAATAGTAATCCGGATAATCCACATGAATGGTTTACTTGTGCTGTTGCTTGCATACAGAGGTTGGTTGACCGTATGATGAGGAATGTGTTGGGGGGAAGAGGAAAGTAAGTTAAGATTTGTTAAGATTTAAGCTCAGATAATTAAGGGGTTTAAGGTGTACCATTGCTATTCTCACACAGAAAATTTTCAACTTTATTGAGTGCTGTATGGTCACTTAATACTGTCTTTCATAAATGAACCCATTTTAAACCTAAGTGTATAATTTATAGAATTGAACTAATAACTCTAGTCTAGCTAACTTGGAAATATTCAACCAGATTATGTCACAGAACATGACAGACAAACCAGTTAAGGTGCTTCCTTATGCAGCAATATTAAAGCATAATGAGCAGCCTTAGCAACATAGGTACAATTAAATCACGTACACTTCTGTATAGAGTTAATATTAAACAAAAATTGAATGGGTAATTTGAGTATTAAATGCAATAATTCCTTCTAAGACAGATGTCCTCTCTCAGATGAAGTGAATCCATTAGTATGTTCTGATCTGCAGTGTAGTCCACAGAACGCATTGGAGTCTCCATCTGTCAGTTTATTCCCCAATAGTGCTGTGTTACAATTATGAAAAATGTTGTGTACTCATACATTATGATTGCAGATGTATTTCTAGTTCAGTTTTCAAATAGAAGTTGTTTATTTTGCATAATAAAACAAGATACAAATATATGTGCACACATGGAGGGAAAAAAAGCCCCTCCCCAAACCAAATGTCTGTCTTCTGAAATTGGAAAGCAGTTTTGGAATAAGTTAGCGCAGAAGCAAACTTTGTTATGACAATTTGCGTAGCTTCACTGAGCTACTGGAAAAGGATATCCTTATTCATATGGTAGGAGGTTAAAGCATATGTATGGATGACAATAAAAATATTAAAATTGTTGATTATTGAAGTTTTACAAGGGCATCCAGTCAAATGTTTTATTCTGGTCCTTAGAACAATGTACTTTAGTTATAAAGGCTAAAAACATTCCTGTGGTTTGGAAGTCTTAACTTTCTAAAACCCAAAGGTCTAGTTTTGGTCTGGGGGAGAGAGGGTTTCCCTTTGCAAGGATGCCTGAACCTTGTCACATGGCTGGGAATACTTGGTTAGGTGATGAGAAAAGATGACAGTTCATAGTTACAGCTGAGGGACTACCCTAATACTTGAAATAAAAACCAATTCAAATGCCACTGATTAGATTTACATTTGAAATGTCATTAGATTACCAGTTAATGATTAAGCAAGTAAAAAGAAGTATTTTGATTTTAAATGCTTGTACTACAAAACGTGGAATTTGGTAAATATATCTGCATTAAATAATAGTGCTGTTGTAACAGCTGCAAAACGTTTGAAATACTGCAGCATATTTTATTTCATTATTAATGTGTCAGCACTGATTGCTCAAATGGAACGCATCTATGTGTCATCTTTTTAATTTAAGAGATTCTTTAAGCTCAGGCTTTTCAAGGCTTTTAAAGATCATTCAAAATGAACTATTTTTAGACACAGCCTGTAAACTTTACATATTTTTAAATCACAGTCACTTTCTAGAATCCAAAGGAAAGAGAACTATATCAAATGCTTGCATTTTCATTGCAAAGTGCTGGTGAGATAGAGGACCAAAAGATTTTATTTTTATGTATGTAATAAAACATTGCTGCTTTTGTGGTGTGATTCTGCTTCAGGGAGCTGATAAACATTAGTATTCTTCCTAGTTTGACTAATAATGATATACTTAACATCCAGTTAGAGACTGTCTGTAGGATATTTTAAATATTGTATGTTGAATCAGTAGGGGAATGCTGGCATCTTGACCGTAGTATCATGGTTTAAGCAACTACATCAAGCAGTAGATGGCTCTTTATCCCTGTTCTCAGCTTTCTGGAGAAGGAAACAGAATATGAGAATTCTTTGGAGACTTCATATGTGAAGTCACTGGTTGCCTTTATTGCAGGCGTGGTATATCTCCAGTCTAGACATGCCAGGCTTGGGAAGCTAATGAATTAAAAATACATGACCAAGCTACTGGCAGTTCCGCTACAATTTTGGGACTTCTCTTGATTAAGGTAATTCAAGCAGTGTTTTAGCCATCCTGTAGAGTAGATGGAGTCAGTAAAGATGGAAAAAAATGACAGGCTTTAAATTAGTAAAAAGTTGAAAATGAAGCTATAGAGAACTTCAGATCTCTTTACAAGTGTCATGTACTCCTACAAGTCGTAGGTTTCTAGTGTTGTCATTTTTATATCTTATATTGAGTTTAAGTTTCTTAACTCTTAAAACAAGAACAAGCATCCTAAAAAATTAAAATGTTCACATTCAGTTCTCATGTTCTGATCTCTGCTTCGCAGAACTGACTAATCTGTTCCTACATCTGTGTAAGAGCCTTTCTCTGGTGACTAACTGATCTTTAGCCTTTAACAAGCTGAATGTCTAGCATGATTTCTGTTGCATTTTCTAATATTGCTGAAAGCTTGTAGCATTGATTTAGTAAACTGTGTTATTCCAATATTGCATTAATGTGTCAGGTAATTATGGCATAAAAGATACTTTGTTGATTAGCATGCTTTTATAAGTAAAAAGAACAGAAAATCACCTTTTAACTGATTTAACAATACTGGGCTTTCTTACTGAAATTGCTTTTCAGTAAGAATCATCATGTCCTTAAAGCGGGTTTCATGGGAAACACTTTTTATGAATGTTCGAGTTGGAGACAGTGATTTCAGATGTAGAGTAGAATTTCCTCAAGATCAGAGAGGTCTACTGCAGAACAGTGAGTAGCAAGGATACTTGTTTAACTCTGTTTTTCTGGGCTGTTCTGCTTTCTGTGACAAAATTACTGGGTAATTTTTAATATAACAAGATTTTACTATGTCAGCTACAGACTGAGTCTAGTCCAGTGATTAGTGTTTTATTGGAAGCAGCCAACAGTGTGATGTACCACATCAGATCTGCAGTACTCTTTAATAAAATAAGTGACATGGCAAAACTACTGGCAGCTCTTATGTTTTTTTCAGTCTAATTGAAGAAAGTTGAGAAACTTGGATAACCTACCCAGGGTCCTTCCTCCCCCTCTCCCTGTGCCATTTCTACAGTTCCAGACCTCAAGTTTCCTTAGTGCTCATGCTTAAAATAACCTTATCCTTACAGTTACTTTGGAGGAAAAAAACCCACAAATTGCAAGAAAAGTGCTGGAACAGTTATTATACAGTTCTTCATGACATGGAAACTGGGGCCAGGTACTTGGAGCTAAGATGTCCAGTCAAAGCCCAGCTTGTTTGCAAGCAACAGAAATGCCAATTTTAGCAATATAAAATTTGTTGAATTGCAAGAATAAATAATCAAACTGAGCTGATTGCATGCTTCTTAATCATTCTTATGAGCCAACAGCAAGAATAATAGCACAAGGCAGACTGTCATGCAATGAAAGCAATTTTTAGATGTTCTGTATACCCAGTTAAGACTAAGAGTATCTAAATTGGCTAAAAAAATAAATCAGATACTTTAAAAGCCCATTTCAGTAGTGGGGAGGGAAGAAGGTTGGTAGTTTGACCACCAGTCTTACCTGTTTTGTTGATGGTAACACATAAAAATTTTTAATTTGTAGGTGAGAAGAACCAGCTAGGCTTTTAATAGCTGTTTTTTATACTTCATCATCCTGCCCACCCTTTCATCAGCTGCTGACAAGCTTTTCCTTCTTATTAATTTCTCCTTTGCAGAGCTGAAGTTGGTGAAATTTCCCAAATCAGCCATGATCTTCTGGTTTTTTCTTTCTTTTCTGCCTAAGCTGGCTGAACAAGTTCTCCATTTGGGAACAGAGTAAAACACTGAACTCCATTTCTAGTATGTCTACTGAGTAGGATTTTTGTTCATCCTTTGGTAATTGAATGTGCTCAATTTACAGTCATTTGGTGTCTTTAAAAAGAGTATGTAGCCTACTTATTCTGCTGGTGTGTGAGGGAGTTACTGAAGCCTCATAGTAGTTTTCTGAATTAAAATTTAAACTGTGCAGCCATTTTAGGTAGTTTCTGCTCGTAGCACAGAGGAGCACTTTAGGTCAGCTCCGTGCTCCTGCTTCATGCAGCATGTTGGAGCAGGGTCTGTGTGCGCTCCATCCACCTTGTACCTGTTTTTTCCCCTGAAAGAAAGCATAGAAGGGAAGGAGATGGGGTGCAGTCCTGTTACCTGGGCTGGAGGATCAGGACTAGAAGGGAAGTGGCCGGCACGTGAGCTGTGGAGTTTGGGTGCCCCAAGGATAAACGAGGCTGTTAGAGCTGCAAAGGATGGAGTGAGGAAGACTGTGTGTGCAGGCGATCAAATGGTATGCTCTTTACGGAATGGACAGCAGACTCTTCATGCATTTGGCAAAACTGCTAATAAAAGTGGGTTGCGTTAAGTACTTCATTTAGTAAAGTACCTCCATTGCACAATATTTGATTTAGAACAGAGAACTTGGATTGAGTTGTATGAATGAGACTTCTTGAATTTCAGAGCAACTAGGACAATTCTGGTTTGGGTTGTTTTTTTGTTGGTTTTTTTTTTTCCCCCAAACATACCTTTTTTTATGTCCATCTGCAGTACAAATTCAGATTAAAAAAGGCAGAACTAGGTAAGACCTATTGAGGCTTTGGCACACTCCAAAAGAAAAGGGGGAGAGAATTCATATGCCTAAAATTTTCAGATTTTTGTAGGATTCAACTTTTTTATATAGTTTTAATTTTTAAATAAAGAAAATCTTGATGTGCTTCAGTGCTAGCAATCCAGAATTAAGCCAGAAGTGTTTTGGAAAACTGTCCCTGGAAAACTTGACAAGTATTCCTGATATCCAAAATGATAAAG